TTTTCTTTAAGACCAAAACCATGGCTTATTACTACTACTGAAAATCAGATAGTTATTGGCAAAGCCAAAAGACTGAAAAGTACTGGCCTAAGAAAATGATGCCCATCGAATTACAACGTAAGAAAGGATCAAAAAAATTCGATTGTAAATGGCATGTCAATTTAAGTAACCCGGAAATTGGTAATTATGTGTATATTACTCTTGTTCACTTTATACATAACCATGATATTATTATGGATAATGCAAGGTTTGCTATGGCGTTCCAAAAATTCGATGAGTCTGTGATGAGTGAAATTGAACGTGCTGTTGTGTATAAACATTGTGACGCATATACTATAAGAAATTTGTTACAGCCTTTATTTCCTAGTCAACTTTTTCTTACACAAAATTTATCAAATATGATCCAAAAAATTAAGCGTGAACAAAGGGTTGCTGGGTCTGATGCATCCAATTTATTAAAATTTTTACTAGAACAGCAAAAGGAGAATCCTGTAATGTTTGTTCAACCACTAATAAATTCGGATAGTAATTGGCTAAATAGTATTTTTTGGATGACAGCAAATCAAGTTGCTTTATGGTCGCGATATTCGGATGTTGTTTTATATGACAATACCTCAAGAACAAATAAATATAATTTTCCTTTATCATTATTCATTCTTGTTGACAATGATGGGAAATCACGGTTGGAAGCACAGGCTTTTTTAAGCGATGAGACTCAGGAAAGTTACGAATGGGTTCTGCAACAAACTTTAGATGCGACTAGTGCAGAACCACGAGTTATAATGACTGATATGGATCCTGCAATAGATGCGGCATGTAAATTAATATATAAAAATTCCTATCATGTTTATTGTATCTGGCATCTTTCTCAAAATTTACCCAAACGGCTTAAATCCAAACTTGGAAATGCAAATTTTAAGGAGTTTATTTGTGATTTTTAGAGAATGCGAAATTCTTTATATATTGATGTTTTTGAGCACCGGTTTTAGTCCTTACTAGAAAAGTATCCAAGTGCTAGTAAATATTTGAATGATTTGATTTATTCAACCCGACAATCATGGGCAAGAGCATTTATAAATTGAATGTTCATGGCTGGAATGCAATCCACACAACGTGTGGAATCAATTAATACTATTATTCATAAAGAAATTGCTTCTAGTACTAGTATGTCAAATGTAGCTGAAGCTTTAGAACTTCGTATACAAAAGGAAACATTAAATAAAGACTTCATAGAATAGAAACATAAATCAATGAATTATTATGATTCATTTGTTGTCGAAAGGTTTTTCAGCAATGTTAATCATATGATTCAAAAATATTATACCCCACGGATTGTCAAAGAGATTCATAAACAAATGTGCGAGTCAGTTCTTTATAAGTGTGAAAAATTAGACATTGATTATGCCTATAAATTTGATGAGTCAGATCAAAATGAATTTACTGAAATAAATTGTAATCAATCGGTAAGTTATTTTTTTATTTAAGTTCATTCTACATTCATAGGTGCTGGTAAAATTTAAATTTCACCAGTGAGGTTAAATTGCAATTAGTTGCTAAATAAATAATTCATCTATTTAGAGTCAAGATCAAGAAGCAATTGAAAATGTTGAAGATCATTATGATTTTTGGCAAACATATTTAAAGGCACTTTTAAACTCTGTCTCAAAGTATTAATTAAAGAAGTTTGGCAAATTATTCCATATATGTTATCAAACTCATACCAACATATTATTATGCTCAACGATGATACATATTTGTGTACATATTTGTTATTAGTTTCTTATGGAATTATTTGCTGTCACTACTTTAAATTAATAGTTGAGAATCTGAATTCATTATTTCATGTGATGTTATTACCTACAAGATGGTTGAATGACAATGCCTGAGAAAATGTAGATTCTATATGTAATGAGCCATTTGTTAGTACTTCTTCTCAAGAATGTCAACATAGTCATGTGCAGAGTCTTATTCCTAGTCATCATTATAACGTTCAAGAAGTTCAAGTTCGATATCGTCTGCAAAAAAAAATGGATTATGGTCGTATCCTGGATCATTTTAAGAAAGCATTAAATTATTCATTAGAGGACGATGATCAGAATAACTTGGATGGGCTTATTTTATCTTACATCGCTAAAAAAGAAGCAATGCGGGGCAATAAAGATCGGTCAGCACCTATTGAAACTCAAGATTCTAGTTGTATAAAATTGTCTGATGGGTGCGTTTATCATGTTGATAATATTAAAGATCTAGCAATACGCAGAGGTAAAGGTAGACCTCCCAGCAAATGATTAAAAGCTTTTAATGAAGAAACGTGTAAAGCAAGCAGTAGTAAAATACAACAGCATCTTTTGAAGATGTTGAAGACAAAAATAATGAAACCGGTGCAAGTAGACACAAATGTGGATTGTATCATAAAACAGGTCATTATGCACCTAGATGTCCAAATAAGAAAAATATTCAAATATAATTGACAATTTGCATATTTGAATCCTGTTTACTTTATTTTTATATATGTTAGTTAAGTCTGGATCGAATTGATAACTATATAGTACTTGTTAGCTATTTTTTTTAATTAGTTAACTCATATATATGTACGTAGTGATATATTGAAGACATTATGGTTTATATCTTAAATTTATTTGCTATGGGTTTATTATAGGTCTCTGTGAGTATATAGCTATTGCAAGTATATAAGCGTATGCTTTTTATAAATAATTATTATGGCCGAAGATGAAATTTTGTGTTTGTTTTATTGAACCTTACCTTTTTTTGTAGTGTTAGAATAGATTAGAGTATAAGGAATTTTAATAGGTTGTCAATAAGTAAATTTCATCTTTTAGCCTCAGGCATTTTTAGGATTAGCCAAGATAATGATTACTTTATTTAAATGCGTGCTTATTACTATGGTTGGTCTTGAAATATGCATTTAGGAATCGTTTAACCAAATTATATTTTTAATATATTATGGTTACTTCTCTGATACGTTAGTTAGGTTAATATATTGAATTAACCCGTTTTAGCCTCTTATTTTAGTAATGATTTCTCTGGAGTAGCAGCAAGAAATTTCAGATACATAACGATTGAGTTGATGTTAGAACTAGCTTTACTTTAAGATTAGGCGTTAATGAAGTATAGCAGTAAAATTGCCCAAGAACATTTTTTTTAGAGCACTAAAGGCGTTTCAGTTTTCTATGCAGATTTTTGAGTTATTGGTGATTTTTGGCAAAACATTTGCTTTGAATTTTTCCGATAGTGCTACATTATACCAAATAAAGATTAGCTATTTGTTATTTTGCTGTTGATTATCACGTATTCGAGATTTTTTGTTTGAGAAGTTTATTAGTAATATAAATATCATGTGATTTATATTGAGGTGATATTTAGTATATATCGCATCACGTGATAAATAAATTTGCTCTAAAAAATATATAAAATTAAAAAAAAAAATTTAAAAAACACCTGATAATATATATATATATTTAAAAAAAATATATAATTTAAAACAATTAAAAATTTTTATTTATTCATAAAGACCAGTATTATCAGAATGAGGTTGTGATAGCAGAATGATTATAGATGTAGTTGAGTTATTCGGAATATCTTAGAATATATCGGGATGTCCTGAATCGTCTTGAGAATGTTGTGAATGTGTATTATGGGTATCATGGAAGCCGGCATCATCAACTGGTGTAGTACCAGTATCTGTACTGTTATAGAATGAGTTGTAGTATTAGTTTTATTATTAAGTTTATTATTAGTTATTATTAGTATATTATTAGT